ATACACTCTAGTCAACAATGAGTCTCAGGCTGACCTTCCATATACACATATACACCATATACACATAGACACTTTTGTATATGTACTCATAGACACTTGTATATATACACTCTAGTCTACAGTGAGTCTCAGGCTGACCTTACATATACACATATACACCATATACACATAGACACTTTTGTATATGTACTCATAGACACTTGTATATATACACTCTACTCTACGGTGTGTCCAGGGCTGACCTTCCATATAAGACTATCTATCATACAAGCAAAAAAGGATACAATCCTAAGTGGCTTTGATTGGCTTGCAAATTTGATTATTGCTGAAGGAGAGTTAACTCCGAAGACTATTATTTTTTGTAATACTTTGAATGACATTGCACGTGTCACCAATTATCTTATGTTTAAACTTGGAGAAGCAGCATACTCTCCACAAGGAGTAAGAGAACCAAAGAACTGTGTCATGGGCATTTATCACTCCACCTCCTGGGAACATAATAAGGAGAAAGTAGTAAGATCCTTAAAAGGGGAGACAAAATGAGGGTTGGGGTTTCATCCAGTGCATTAAGCATGGGTGTTAACTTTCCCAATATTCGTTATATTATCAATTTTGGTCCAGCTCGTAATTTGCTTGATCAGCACCAAGAGTTTGGTCATGCAGGAAGAGATGGCAAGCAGAGCCATGCCTTGATACTCTACCATGGTAACCAACTCAGTCACTGTGAGCAAACAGTAAAAGATTTTTTAAGAACAGATGCCTACGTGTAGCTGCTTGCAAGCCATTTGATGAGAGCATCAAACCTGGGGCCTCACTGCACAACTGTTGTAGTTATTGCACATCAAAATGTAAGTGCAATGATAAAAACTGCAATGCTGAAGCACTACCCTTTGAAGTTCCTTCAAAGTCAACTTCAGATATTAAACTCACCAGACCAGTCACAGAAGAAGACAAAGAAGACTTGACTGGAGCCCTAAAAGAAATTCAGCAAAGGATGGTCAAAGGAAATCCATTGTTTGGCTGTGTTGGTCATGGATTTTCAGACCAACTCATAGAAGATGTTGTAAGCAATTGTACCAGACTGTTTACACTAAATGATGTGGTTGAGCCTTGCCCAGTTTTTTCTCTCGGTAATGCTTTGTCAATATTGGAAGTAATTCGAGAGATATTTCTGGACGTTCCAAATTTTGATGAAAGCGTGGAATTCTTAAGGCAAGCCAACTTGGACTCCAATGAAGTTAACAGTTTGGAAGACTACTTGAAAAACATTGATTTAAGTTTCACTGAAGTTAACAGTTTGGAAGACTACTTGAAAAACATTGATTTAAGTTTCACTGACGAGTATGGTTTTTCTGATGATGAAGAAGACATTGAAGGGGACATTGAAGTTATAAATTGGTAAAATTTATATTTATTCCACATCATAGAAATGACAGCCAATGAAAATGCAGGAAAGCCATTGTATATAAGTGAGTATTCCACTTCCCATCATGCACTGCACTCTAGTTATTTTCTATTATGTGGTATAAAATAGTTATGTAATGCTTTCCAGTGGCACATCATGTATTATCCCACTTAACACTTTTTCTTTATTATTTTCTTTAAATACATACTTGCCTGAAATCTCATGTAAACATAAAATGCAAGTGATTAATGGGATACTCCATGGTATACCACTCAAAAGGATTGTATAAGAAATGTGTAACTATTTCAAAATGTTGTCATTGTGTATTATATACTACATACTGCGAACTGATAATTTGGACTCTGATTAGCGATGACAAGTTTTTTTTTCTTTTTTTTGCAATACTGATGGAATATTAATTAAGCTTCAGTTAGGCATGCAGTGTTTAGTTAATCTATAGGGAAGAACCTTTTTGATATAACTATTTTTATAGGCACTTTACAGTAATTCCATATGATCTGAAGACATTTTTATATGCATGTTTTATTATTATCTTCATCTTAACCATTTCTTCATTCAAAATGATTAGTTTTAAATTGGAACTTTCATGGTCATGAAACTTTATAAATGGATATCTGAATGTAATAATGTCATGCGAGTATTCCATCAAAATAACAACCTATTAACGAAAGTATATAAAGATTAAGTTTGTTTTGATATTATCATTAAAGTCACTCGTGTATTGAACCCCAAGTTTCAAGGATTTTCTTTATCCATTTGTGTAAGTTTTGGTAATCCAAATTGGATAGGAAGTTGCAATTAAAATTACTGAATGATGGGTATCCTTCTCTTCCTCCATGATGGAATTGGAAGGCTCTCTTTGACATAAGATCTTCAATCACTTGTTGTACAGCCTCCTCTTTTCTTGCTACACTTCGATAAGCAGATTATTGTGACAGCTTGCAATCTCTATCAACACCATTCAGGATGAGCTCTACGGAGTCCAGTGTCCCAGCAATCCGTGCAGCATTTTTCTCATTTAAGTTTGGCCCAAGAGCTCTCCACATTCCCTTTAGAATTTGATTTTGGTGTTCTTTCTTTAAATCAAGAGAGATGTTGTTTGCTTTTCCACCATGATTGTTAAAAAATCTGTTCCATTTTAAATTATGTGCATCATGTTCTGAAAAGAGAGCACATATTTTGACAAGATACATGAGTGTTACATAAGCATATTTAGTATGCCCATTACATTTGTAGAGCAATAGAAATACTTTGTAGATCTCGAATAGGCGCTGCCCATCTCCTTCTTTAACTGCATCTTCAAATGACATGAGAAGTAGGCCAAACATCAACTTAGACTGATGATAATTAAAGATGTAGCCTTCCTTTGGTTTCCCTTCATCTTCTGTTTTGTCTTTATCCTCTTCATTTTCAGTAGATTGCTCTGGTACATGAGTATTGTCAGGATGGAACTGTCTTTGATGTCTGTTCAAAGAAGGGTAAAAGATAAGACATGGCATGAGAAATTATTTCACATTCATATTCTACTTTGCCTTTATTGTACAGTCTGATAATAATTTCATTATGATTTCATCATTTCACTTGCTGCTATTTTTTTATTTCATGATTTTGTATTGATTTTGTCATTACCTGTTGCGAGTTTGTATAGTGCTGAAGACAAGCCCACAATTGGATCTACAATAATAATAACCAATTTCATCTCTGTCATCACTTGCATAGTTTTGCAGTTGTAGTCCATGCACTGTAACTTCATGCCTATAAATTTATATTTAAAAAATACATTTGTAGTTTCTTGTTTAGATTATGAACCAAATATATTATGATAATATGGCATATTATATTATTTTATGAAACTTGTTTAGATCATGAACCAAATATATTATGATAATATGGCATATTATATTATTTTATGAAACTTTTTTTTCTTTTAAGGAAAGTTAATTTTCATCTGTTTCTTTCAAACCATAATGTTATCAGAGACAGATCTTTGAGCTGTTCATGCAAGATAGGATCTATAAGATGTAGCCAACACACCATACACACATGTACATTTCTGTACTAGCTCCAGCAAATAATCAGTAAATCATGAATAAGGCATGTAACTTTCCAAAGATTAATATAATATTTTCACGTTTAACAGCAACATTGGCATAAAAATGTATACCTTACTCTTCGAGAATGTAGTGTATAAGTATTGTTACATCCATCTTTGCGACAGGCAAATTGCTCTTTGAAACACTTATCCAATCCCCTGTTTGTTCAGCTAAGCTTGTAAATTCAGATTTAACTATATACTTCTCCACATGGTTTTTACAAAGGCTTAATAACCATTCTGTTCTCAATTGGTTATCTGATTCTGGGTCTGGCATATCACAAGTGGGGACATCTTTAGAACATAACAAGAATATTATAAGAATTAGCATAGGCTCAATATGCCCTTTGCAGAACATGACATTGTTAATCAAATGTGAATAATAGTAAAAAGGCAATCTTTTTGACAAACCTTCCAATTTTTTCATAACACACATTTCCATGAATGATGCACAAATGTGACCTTCGATTTCCCTTGAATGAAAATCTTTGTACTGGTTGTGGTGGTTGTGTACCCCTTTAGCTGCATTGTTTTTTCCACAGCGGTTCATGCTTGCTCTACTGGTGCCAATTTCTGCCACTGATTCTTTTACAAAAATTTTAAATTCAGTCTAAAAAAAATCATAAAAGTACACATCAAATTAAAAAATTATAAATCCATAACTTTGTTTTGTATATACAGTAAAAACTCACATTACATTATGTTGAGGGGGAACTAAATAAAAACTCTTAGCCTAACAGGTTCTTAACCATTATACAGGTTTTTATCATTTGACAAACATACCTCATAAAGAGTAACTTTGGCATGCCAGTCGGCATGTTCTGGCAAGAGTCCTTCAAGACGGTCATATCCATTTTCACCATCTCTAAATGTCCATTGCACATTTCGAGCCCTCTCTTCAAACAGTTGATCACCATGTACGGGTACTTTTGAAAGAACTATTTTCTTTTCTTCCATATTGGAGATAGGCACATACGATTGCTGGTAATCTTTCAATATCTGGGCCATTTCAGCAGAAATGTTTGGGTTGTAAAATTCCATTCCAAGAGAACACTGAAAAAATCAACCAAAAAAAGCATATGAATCATCAAATAGTTTTTTTTCTAGTAGAAAAAAAAAAGATTGATTTATTTTATTTTTGACTACGATTGACAGTGATTAATTTGTGTTGCATCATTGAGTTATATACATCCTATAACTTTAAAATTGTTGAATGTTTCAGCTAGGTTTTCAGCCTTCATCATCAAAACTTGTATAATTATAATATTGGGTTTTATGTTTGATTTGTTTATGCATACAAACATAATGTACATTTGCAGCCAATAGTTTACAAACAAATTAAAAAAACAGAGTGCATGGACAAAATATATATTAAATGTAAAATAAAATTTAGTATAAATTTGGTTAGGAAAAACAAGAACTCACCATTTCAGATTTGGTTGAAATTTCTTTGGCATAAGGATGAGGAATGTGATAAATGACATTTTTCTGGAAAACCTTGAATGATGGTAAGTATTTTGTTACGATCCTGCTAACAATGATTGCCCACTGTAAGATAAGATTTTGTTGAACTCTGAACTTTGTTGGGATTCTGACCTTTCAAGATACTGGTCTGAGACCTTGTCAAGCAATGCATACTGATGTGTCCAGTGCAAATATCTGTTAGAATGCTGCTTTGTGTCCAGTGCAAAGATCTGTTAGAATGCTGCTTTGTTTGTAGCCTGGCTGTTATTTCAGGGTCAATATTATCTCCCACTATCCTGAGACAAAGAGAAAATGAAACGGTTAGTTTTTTGGGTTGGTGACAATTAGGTGGGTTATTGAAAATATTTTTTAAACCAAAGAAATTTAGTGTCTACTACAAGTCTGTAGTTTTGTTGTTGTTGTTTAATT